AACAGAAAGCTGCTTACCTCCTGTTTAAGGCTCTAAACATTTCCAAGCTGATCATTAAGAAAGATTTGATGTCATGATATTGTTAATTTTATTTAGTTTAAAGAAATGTATTGATAAATGTCTACGTAATTTGAAAGAAAAAAAATATGCAGTGAGTTATTTCCAAATAAAGAAAAAATGTATATTGTTCGTCTGCATCATTACATATATATATATATATATATATATATTTGTTCTAACCAATCACGGATCCTCTTATTGGACAATGAAAAGTTTTTTGAATTTTTCCGTACTTTTTTAACTGTAATACTTTTTCATATTAACATATAGGCTGTTAAAGATTTTATGACATCTGTCAACGGCATTAGACTCGGACATCATGTCGGTCCCTTATCGTGGAACACCGCAGTCAAGTTTATGATGGCAAGAAAATTTGATTTACAGCGTGCTCTCCTCTTGTATGAAGCTCATGAAGTAAGTCTATCTTAAGTATGACCATATGTCACCTGGTTCATCTTCACCTCTCAGTTTTATTAAATACATCTGGGGCTCCCAAACTATCCCAACTCATGACCCACTTGAACAGACAAACAGTTTTTCTAGACCCATGTTTAATTGGTGGAGAGATTTATTGTTTTAATATGTTTCAGTAAAATCTTGTTGTGCCCTTATGTATTGGCTTTGTTTGTTCAAAAACATTTTAGGATTACTATTTTATAAATAATTCAAAAATATGTTGTTGTTTTTTTTTGTTTTTTTTCTGCAGCCACCAGTTGGACAAACATTATTTTCAATTTGATTTACTAAACAAAAAGTAGTGTTAAGGTTTATGGGAAAGTTTGTCATATTGTGTGTTTGTTATGTTACTCAGAATTGCACTTTAACTGTATCCCAAGGTAGTGATAAACATTTAAACCGATATTTTCACATTCTGTAATTCAAGATAACTTTTATCATTAAGTAGTAATTGAAGCTGTGTTATCATTACCTAGTAATTGAAGCTGTGTTATCATTACCTAGTAATTGAAGCTGTGTTATCATTACCTAGTAATTGAAGCTGTGTTATCATTAAGTAGTAATTCAAGCTGTGTTATCATTACCTAGTAATTTAAACTGTGTTATCATTACCTAGTAATTGAAGCTGTGTTATCATTACCTATTAATTCAAGCTGTGTTATCATTACCTATTAATTCAATCTGTGTTATCATTACCTAGTAATTCAAGCTGTGTTATCATTACCTAGTAATTCAAGCTGTGTTATCATTACCTAGTAATTCAAACTGTGTTATCATTACCTAGTAATTGAAGCTGTGTTATCATTACCTATTAATTCAATCTGTGTTATCATTACCTAGTAATTCAAGCTGTGTTATCATTACCTATTAATTCAAGCTGTGTTATCATTACCTATTAATTCAATCTGTGTTATCATTACCTAGTAATTCAAGCTGTGTTATCATTACCTAGTAATTCAAGCTGTGTTATCATTACCTAGTAATTCAAGCTGTGTTATCATTACCTAGTAATTCAAGCTAACTTATCTGTTATCTCTGTAATATTTCATGGAATGGAATTAAAAATAAACTACAGAATAATTTTTTACACTTTTTCATATTTGTTAATAAACGTCTCTGTTTGCATATACTTTTGTCAACTAGTTATTTCTTTAACTAGGTTGTCCGTCACAGAGAAGGCCTTGCTTCCTTTGATCCAACCAGAGACCCTTTAAAGAGTGAATTAGATACAGGAAAGTTTACTGTTTTGGTATGTAGTAGTAGTACATTAAGTAAACAGACAAAGTGTATTGTTTATGTCTTAAAAGAATTATACATATCCACATTTACTTGCCATTTATCAGATAATAAACTCTAAAAAGATCATTGATTAATGTAACATATTGTATATTATTGATACTTGAAACCTTGGTGAAACTCCATGATCACAAAGACAATTGTACATTTCATAAATACTTTATTTATTAATGATTGTGGTTTTGCCAGTAAAAGCATCATCAGGTACAGACTGAGTAACAAACAAAATATATTGTATATTCTTCTTGTGCAATACAGATGTTTAAATTATATTACCCAACAGTAAAAATTAGTTTAGTTAGAGCCTTTTCTCATCGACCATAAAAAAATTAGTTTTATAAAAGCTTTTTGTGACATTATTCCAGAGTTACATTTTAACTCAAGTATGAATAATAAATAAAACCTAAAACTGGACTGTACAGAAAAAAAACTGTGTATGACTGTGTTATAAAAGAACAGATCATATGCACCGACAGGCTGTTTTAACTCCGTGATAATTAGTTACTCTGCATGTCTGGGCTGTACACACACAAAAAAACTGTGTATGACTGTGTTTTAAAAGAACAGATCATATGCACCGACAGGCTGTTTTAACTCCGTGATAATTAGTTACTCTGCATGTCTGGGCTGTACACACACAAAAAAACTGTTTATGACTGTTTTAAAAGAACAGATCATATGCACCGATGGGCTGTTTTAACTCCGTGATAATTAGTTACTCTGCATGTCTGGGCCGTACACACACAAAAAAACTGTTTATGACTGTGTTATAAAAGAACAGATCATATGCACCGACAGGCTGTTTTAACTCTGTGATAATTAGTTACTCTGCATGTCTGGGCTGTACACACACAAAAAAACTGTTTATGACTGTGTTATAAAAGAACAGATCATATGCACCGATAGACTGTTTTAACTCTGTGATAATTATTTATTCAGCTTGTGTAAGATACAAGTAATTCTCTTGCTTCACAAATTTCTGTTTCGTGTTTATTTCACAAAAATAAAATCACACTACATAAAAAAATCAAGTTAGAGACAATTGCCAATAAAAAAGTGTTCATCTTCTTTCTTGTGATGTGGCAAAGAAATAATTCTGTTAATTAAAAGTTAAAAAAACACCTTTTGTTTGTTTAAAAGTTACTCGAACCTTTTAATAATGTGTTTTCAAAACTTATAGGATGCTATTTTTTAATGCTCGTAAATACTGTAGTAGGATTATTTTGCTGGAAGAGCTAGGCTTGATCTGTGTTTTGTAAAAGTTGTATCCCCGTGGGTAAAAACAGTTGAAAGAGTACCAGATATTTCCCGGCAAAACCTCGACATGTGAACTGAGGTTTGGTCTGAGTGACAGTGTTTTAAAAATCCTAACATAGTATACTGCCCAACTGAATGGTGCAAGTTTATGTAGAAAATTTATTTTATTTTTTCCCAGCCTACCAGAGACAAGACTGGGGCAGCTATTTCTGTCTTCACAGCCAGTAAACATTTCCTAGAAAACACTTCACATCAGATAACCTTGCAGGGAATGGTATACCAGCTTGATGTTGCTTTAGATAGGTATTTATTTTAGTTTCACTTTTAATTGACAAGATCTCGCACATACATATGTTCAGTGAGATCAGACCAGTAGTAGAAACAAGTTTTCCTTAAATTGTGGCTTTCTATTGCTTAGCATACTTAACAGGCTGGGTCTTAAAGATTACAAAGTTTGTTCACATTATGTCGTCCTTATAAAAGGTAGTAATGACCTTTTATGGATGAACAAGTTGTGTTTCTCTTGTAGAGTATTTCACTGAACTGTTTTATTGTTTTATCTCTCTACTGACAGGGTAATGTACATTTTTATTGTTTTATCTCTTCTGACAGGGTAGTGATGTACATTTTTTTTGTTTTTTCTCTACTGACAGGGTAATGTTGTACATTTTTTTGTTTTTTCTCTACTGACAGGGTAATGTTGTACATTTTTATTGTTTTTTATTTCTACTGACAGGGTAATGTTGTACATTTTTATTGTTTTTTATCTCTACTGACAGGGTAATGTTGTGTATTTTTTATTGTTTTATCTCTACTGACAGGGTAGTGATGTACATTTTTTTATTGTTTTATCTCTACTGACAGGGTAGTGATGTACATTTTTTTATTGTTTTATCTCTACTGACAGGGTAGTGATGTACATTTGTTATTGGTTTATCTCTTTTGACTGGGTAGTGATGTAAATTTTTTTTCTGTAATAAATAAATTTTTTTTTTTCCAGAGTTATTTATATAAAAAATATGTGATTCTGAGTTCACTATAATTCATATCCTGTGCATGTTTTCCAAGACAAAAATAAACAGAAAATTAAGTTAAAAAAGCTTGCTCATATGAACTGTACTTTGAATAAATAACAGGAAACTTTCATTCACATGAAACTTCAGAAATGTACAGTTTTACCAAAATTATGACTTCAGTCTTTCATCTTTCCTTAGTTTGGAAACTCAGCGATGTGGAATAGTTTTTATCTACAATATGACAAACTCGAAGTATGCCAACTTTGACTATGAACTAAGTCTAAAAATCCTTAATCTTTTAAAGGTAATGATATACTAGTAATTTATATAAATGTAGATAAGAAGGGGTAACATAAATATGTGAAATTAATGAAGTGTAAATTTGTATTATAGAATTTAAACCAAACTTGACTTATATCACATAATTTACACACATTTTTTTTTCTTCATTATACGTAGCTCAAACATTTTCTGTTAGGGTTAACGAGTGTAACATCATAAAAGTAGTAAAAACTAAGTCAATTTTGTAAGTTTTTGTAGAAATATTAATATAATGTTTGTCAGGACACTTATATTTTAGTAATATATATTAAGTAAATACATAAGTGTGTGTTGGACTAAGGATTCTTCTACAGTAGGTGTCTGCGACTTGTTGGTGATGATTCGATGACGAGGAACCCACTTTGAGACTAATAATGGCTGGAGACGGCTTAAATGGGTGATGAAGAAAAACTTTAATACAAGTTTAACATGACAGCAAATGTACAACGTTTCGACAAAGGTTTTGAAAAAACCTGTCGGAAAGGTGTACATTTTTTGTCATGTTTAA